AATACATTCAAATTTTCAAGTTGCCAGCAGGTCACGACTTCACAGGATTCCTGGAGAATCGGAAAGACCTATTCCAGGCCCTCTGATCGGAATCGGTCATGAATGTATATTTTCATCAGCCGTCCCCGTCGGGAATATACGCAGTGGTGTCCAAGTAAAAGGACCTAAATAGTAAACTATACAAGCATGCAATTACAAACGTATACTTCTTCGATTAGGTTCAATGGGTGGCTTCCAGTGAATTTCAAGAAAGCAGACCCAAACCGCCTAGAGAGATATCAGCTTAAACAAGTAACCAAGAAGGCGACAATTTGACTAACGCTGTAATACTAAAAGGAGGAAAGAAGGCCCTGCATGGAACGCGTCTTTTTCAAGCAGCAAAATGAAGTGAAGTTAGTTGACCTCGGTCACGAAAGTATATGTGCATTAGCTGTCCCCATTGGGGAAATACGCCGACCACAATAGTATCCAAGTAAAAGGACCTGCATAGTAAGGTCTAGAACCATACAAATTAAAACATATACACCTTTCGATTTGAGTGGCTTTAGTGAGTTTCGAGAAGAAAGAAGCAGACCCAAACCACTTACAGAAATCGGCTGGAAACAAATGACAAGTAAGACGGCAGTTTTACTAAAATTGCAATACTAAAAGGTTGAAAATATGCCTTGCATGGAACGTGTCTTTCAAAAGCAGCATGAACACAGAACACTCAGACTTAGTTGGCCAGCCAGAGTCATTGATCAGAGTAAACGACGAAAGAAGAAGAATCGTCTAGGGGAGGAGGGGGCAAATAAAAAGAAGGGGATTAGCAAAATTGTGCATTTGTATCGGAAGTAAACGTCCGTCATGGTATGTAACCACGAACACCGAACTAAAGAATCACACAAAAACGATAATGTAGGAGTGTGTATGAGAGAAATAGCGAGAGCGAGAGATGAGGGAGAAGAAGTTAAAGTGAAGTGGCTAGAGTGTATCAAGTCCTAAGAGCTGCCTCCGCCTCGGACATGGCATAGAGACAGAGTTCATCTTGCCAGGGCAGGGCTGAGATCTGGACTGCGATTGGAAGGCCCTCAGTGCCCTCTTGAAGCTAAAAAGGAGAAGAGAGGATTAAAATTGCATCGCAAGCAGAACGAAAGGAAACAAACGAACAGCTCTACATCTCAACCCGCCAATCTACCCCAATCGAGCAAGTGACGATGTTTGCATGTAAAACTACCGAGACAAAGAGAGATAAGATGAACATTAGTCAGCCGTAAATTTGACACCTTCTATCAACGACGGTTTATAACAAGAGAAACACGACGAACCGTCGGTGAGAATGAAGCGCATGAATAGGTTGTTGACACTAGTCGGTCCGGTTAGGAAACCACTGAAAGTTCAATAATTCAGTCGCATAACAAAAGGAAGAGCAATGAGGCTGTAAGAGGAACTGCTGCGGAATGAAACAAAAAAACTGGGACATCTGAAGGGAAAGCAGACCAAAGCACGCACGAGTGTGATAGCGAATAAATGGAAGAAAACAGAATAAAATCAGACTGTGAATGGTGTCAGCTGTACAAACTCGCCATTTTGCAGGAAACCACCGCCCTAACTAGCAGAAACTGTAATTTCTCGTAATTAACAGCAAATATCAGTCGGGGAAATGAAAAAGCTAATATACAGGTAATAAACCAGGACGCATGTCCTCAAGTACAGGCGCGAGATGGAGAGGGGCCGGGTGGAGACGGAAAAGCCGACACAGTTCGACAAAAAAGCGAATGGAACTGGTAAAAAGCGGGACAAGATGAGTAAACAGAAAAGAAGGCGAAGCGGATAACGTAGGAAATAGCTGTCGGCAAAAGACACTACGCAAAGAAATGCAAAACACCGAAAATTCAATAAGTTTCTAGTACGCCTTGTGGATCGTGTACCCACAAAAGCGGCATGCATGTGAGTTACTTTAAATCGACAGCAGACTTGTTTAGAATTTTCTCTATCAGTAAACGCCTCACCGTACACACAAATAACCAGGGTCTCAGAAAAAAACGCACTTTTTTAAATACGCACATAGAAGATGCTAAAATAACAAAAGTAGAAAAATGATTCTGATATTTAGCTCCGTCAGTGTCGGCTTCTTAAAGAAGTAGGCACGAAACGGGCAGCAAGGCTTACCCAAACCGCGAAAATCAAATGCAGAATATAGTGAAGATAAGGTAAATACGCTGAAACTCAACATTTATACTGATGTCTGCCACACACCGTTCGACGACGACAGTTTTATTGTTTGTAATTTTCACGATGTAAATCTGGAACATGAGGTAAATTATGTGGAACGGCCTGTCGACTTTCAGATGCTCTGAATGCTAATAGTTCTGCAAACACAAAAAAAAGTTTGACACTCCTTAACGAATATTTACCAATCGCTAACGGAGCTCACTTGCCCCGCTCTGTGTTGCGTCTCATTTCTCGGGCCCTGGTAAGTGAGTTCCGCTAGCGGACGGTGAACGTTCGCCAACGACTGGCCACACCTCTCGACCTAAATTGGCAAGACAACGAGAATGTGACCCAATGATTAGGGTGTTAGACTCTGATAAAAACGGGTCGCGGACTTTAACTGACGGTGAAGGCGTTCCACGAGGCCATTTGATGCTGGGTGATAGGCAG